GCACAGGACTTTCCAAAGCGAACCTGAGCACTGGCTTGGTGTATCGGAGACTGCAGCACCTAAAAACGACACTTCTCCTGGTCCTGATATGGTTCATTCTGCTATACTGAGGGAGGCAGCTTCAATCCTGACGACACTGCTTAGCGTGATATTCTCACACTTGCTGAGCCGAAACATACTACCGGAAACTTGAAAGCTGACTCGAGTCACATCGATTTTCAGAGGAGGTCGACGCAGCGAACCTTCAAGCTACCAACTTGTGTCTCTCCTCTCGCTATACCTTCAAAAATTACGGAGTCCCTGTTATACGACGTCATACATAACGATTTATTATCCTTGATCTTCTTTTCACCCCGACATCATGGTTTCAGGAAGGGTCATTCTTGTATAACCAACTTGTTGACTGCGGTGTACAGATGGACAACCATCCTCGACTGCAAGGAGAAGGTTGTCGTCATCTACCTTGACTTCTCAAGAGCCTTTGATAGGGTCAACCACATATGTCTTATCAATAAACTCAAACAATTGGGTATCAAATCACCTCTAATTGATTGGCTCACTTCACGTTTAAAAGGTCGACCTTTTGAGGTCAAGGTTAACTCCAATTTCTCTCATGCTATGGAATGACTTAGTGGGGTCCCCCAGGGTTCAGTATTAGGATATCTTCATTTCTTTATTCGTATAAATCACTTTCCACAACAGGTATTGTCTGAATCATTACTTTTTGCTGATGATGTGAATTTGCGTCGACCCTCTCTCAAAATTGGTGTGATGTGAGTCAGCTTTCAAGTTTCCGGTAGTGTGTTTCGGCTCAGCAAGTGTGAGAATATCACGCTAAGCAGTGTCGTCAGGATTGAGGCTGCCTCCCTCAGTATAGCAGAATGAACCATATCAGGACCAGGAGAAGTGTCGTTTTTAGGTGCTGCAGTCTCCGATACACCAAGCCAGTGCTCAGATTCGCTTTGGAAAGTCCTGTGCAGTTTCAGATGAAGCTGTCATCAGCACGGTTGATGTGGGTCTGTTGAAATGTCCGAGAGTATTGTTCAGCCAAAAGGTTAGCGGTGTCACCGCCGTTGTTGTGTTGGACATTAGGACCGAGCAGTTGAGAAACCCCCGTTTTGATATGTCCAAGTTAGGCTGCATAACGGAATAAGCTTTTCGGATTTAGGACAAATTTATCCATAAGCCTTATCTGGTACTGAAGTCTTTTCTCTTACAGCCTAACTGCATATGTTCCTTATATTTTTGTATTGCCTGGACGCATCGTTGTTACCAGTTTGCTTGTATTCCGCCTGACAATGCATTTTGCGGCTTAGCAGGCAAAGAGTGTGGTTATTGATGACTGTATGTTGCTTGTAGATGTTGGGGATCATTAGAGGAACAGACTGGTTTGCAGCTCATATGATCGTGGACAGTAAGAAATCCCAATAAGCATCCACTTCAGGTTGACTGTGAATTTCCCAATCCACCTGTCGTAGATTGTCCTGTAAAGTTGACTTATTCAGCCGATTGAAATTCCAACGCCTGTTGTTGGCTGGATGTCTTAGCTCAGTTTCGCTGATAAAACTGAAAGCTATGACGGCGTGATCGATCCTCCTCAGAGGAGTCAGGATTGAGAGGTTTTCAATTAGGAAATCTTCTTTTGCAAATACCCAGTCTACGTATGATGGTGTCTGGCTGTTTCTCCAACAAGTTGCCAACTTCACATTTTCTAACGATCCCAGATCCCCAATGAGGTTGAGGAACCGGGCTTCAGTATGGTTTTCACCTCCAATATACGTATGTTCCGCGAAATTGACTTCAAGTAGATTAAAGTCCCCTAGAATCAGGATATGAGTGAATCTGAGACAAATAGAGCGGGATAATTCTTCTGGCATACGATTGTCGTACGCGATGTCAGCAGTCGGATTCATGTAGATGACTCCAACTAGACACCTCGAGGTGGTACACAATCTTTCTGAGCACCTTACGGATTCATGAACATTGATAAACTCTTGGCAGGATCGTAAGTATAAAGCTGCTCCATTCTCAATTCCTGTTTTTCTGTCACTGCGAAACAAAAGCATCCCGGGTATTGCTAGCTCCCGTTCAGTGAACTGGGAAGATATCCAAGTTTCAGATATTCCTATTAAATGAGCATTACCAGCATTGATGAGTTCACGTAGCTCATCCATTTTATTCGATAAACTCGCGGCGTTTCATGTATGAGCAGTTTACGCCTTCAATTTACAACTCATGAGCTTCCCCGTCCAGTTTGTCTGTATGAGTTGTTACGTGAATGGACAGGTGGCCCACCAACATAAGGTTTGCCGAGTTGGCAGGCCCTGTCCCTTACACGTCTTTTATGATCAAGGCAGTTCACAAGTGGAGTGGACAGCTCCGACTTGTCTTTGTGCTCGATCCTGGTGTCATCTTTCCTATGCGGATTCATATGGACTCCAGTTAGCAACGGAAGTCTGTTGGCACGAAATGCTTCCAAATTTGCAGCCACCATATGGGAGGATGAGAAAGTTATCCTTATTATCCGGAGTCTAGAATCTCCGTCCTTCTTGGCTAGTCTCATCACTTGTTGAGTCAATATATTTTTGAGCTTCGAGGATTGCTTGATGAGTTTCCATTCCCTAATATCAGAGATTGTGTGATCAGGGTCCGTGTTTCTCGATACACCTTGTACAATGAAATTTCTTCCCCGGAAAAACTCGAGATTTCCTAGAGATGTTCCGCCTTAGATTGCGCTCGGAATACGGTATGTCAGGCAGTATTCTTACATTCCCATCTGATTTCAGTAAGTGGTTAGATAGTAGAATACCCTCTACGTCGTTTGCATTCTTAAGTGTTACACGAAGTAGCCTTGAGTGATTTCGATGCTTAGAGTCTTTTCCTTGAGTGATCCAAGTGACCCTCAAAGGCTCTCTTCGGGAAAGCTCAAGTTCTTGTTCAACTTTTCCCAAAGCATCCTGTCATTTTTGTCCTGCAAACTGAGAGGAAGGTCAGAGTTATTTTTGAGGCTCACGAATATGAGAGGATTATCGCGAGCCGTGATTGTTTTCCCAGGTTTTCAGGTATGTTCCAGTTGCGCACCTTGTTTGTTTGGTGATTGAAAAGCGTTTCCGAATCCTTGGTTCTTTAATGATCGGACGGATATACTTGAGGGCAGACTGTGAGGCCAAGTCACCAGTTTATTTCCCTACAATACTTTGGATGTTCAGCTTTTTAGACGGTGACGTCAGGTCCTTTATAACTTTGTTAACGGGGCTTCAATCACCTATAGAGTTTTTGAGAACCACCACTGCGTTCAGGGATCCTGTGCTGAGAGACCCAAGTCTACTGAGAGAGTCTTTTGTCGTCAATCTTATGATGGTGCTGAGTTTCAGCATGTCATCACTGTTGTTATTACATGCTCAGTCGACAGTAGCGCTATCGACATCCTTCTTCTTATTTTCATTGCGTGTCGTCGTTTGTTCACTCACTTTATGACTGTCTTTTTTCAAGTTTGCTGACAACTTATTCCACGGACCTGTCAATAGGACAATGGGGTTACTCAGCCAAAATTCAGCATCCGTGTTGCACATGAAACATACCGACTTATGATCCGACTTATTGAGTCCGTCATAAGCAGTTATTTTGACATCTGTGCTCACTTCATGTAACCAGCCAGATGTAACAGCAAAGCGGCGTCCACGTTGTTTGCATGAAATTTTCATGACTATAGTGACGTAAATTGTTTTATAGATCCTAGCGAAAGCCTAAGACTGCAGGAAGCAATGCACTAAAAATGGGTTGTACAAAAGGTTAGGATAAACTGAAACTAGCCTTGATGTGATGAAGAACTGAAAAACCGAAATAAGCTGAGGTAAAACTACAGTTAACTATTACGTTGTGTGAAACTCAAAAAGAAAAGTAATCTACCGAACGTATATCTCAGAACAGATTCTTTAGATCAGGAATGGTACTTCTGTGTTAGAACACGGCGGAAGTTTAAGAAACGCAAATCACGTTCGTAAAGCGCGCGCGTAAAATCGGCTCCGCAGTCATATTTAGAGACCAGTGGAATCCTTTGGAACTACTCTTCAATTACGTGAATAAACTTTACACATCGTCGGAAGTCTTAAGGAGCAGCAAATTTAACCGCCACTGATCAATTGTAAAGTTTGTTTACTGTGGCAGAATAATAAACTTTGGAACGCCCCCCTCATATTCCAATACTACCGGTCATGACCAAGCGTATTCTTTAGATGCACAAGTAGAAGAGTTAGTAGACAAACTTTTATAATCTCTAGTAAGAGAAAAAAGGGTTTTTACCCTACGGTATTTGTTGTAAGGAAATGTACCATAGTATTTTTTGTGTAGTTAGGGTAGTGACTGCGCCTGGCATGAAATAAACATAGTCAGTACAAACTGAGGAATGTGATTTACCACTTTAAAAAAGTTTTATTTACGATACCCGTGGCATTTGTATGAGTGATTTGTGTATCTATCCTGTCCCTCCAACCAGAACTGTAAACAGAACTTGAAATCCACAACAAGCGGTCACTGATACTCGGAGTTTAAGTAATTCCTCTTCACATAATGATCCCAACCGAATCAGAAGTAGAGAATGATGTGATAGGGCAGTATGGTTAAATTACAGGTCAGGGTATTGCAATGTATAAAATGTGAGCCAAATAGATGTTGTAGATGTGAACACTACAATCTATCTATAAGTGACAGAGTAAGGATGCTCGACTGAATGTCTTTAGCTAGTGCTGTCAAGCAAAACTAAAAGCGTTAGCATCAATGTCAAAAATCTACAGAGCTATTTATCTTGAGGATTTACGTACTGCTACACACATAAGACTGTAAAAATAATTGAAATTCATAACGCCGGGTGATTCATTTTGCTCACCGAGTTGTAAAGTAACCGGATTTAGGACTGGAAAAACAATATCAAAAATCTTGAAATTTCTGATATATTTTCTAGCCTCTCCTGTCTTGTAGAGGATCTTAAGTCCTGACCTTAAGGGAGGATATTTTGGTCAGGAGCGTTACAACGTGGTTGGTTGAGATGTCTTGGTTGTTTGGCTTTGGCAAACAAACATCAAAAGACTTCGACATTCCTGGTGACGTCCCGCCACCACCAAGCCCACCTGCAAGTTTACAGGATAAGAAACAGTCTAAAGATACGGCTTCTGCTTACCGATTTGATTCAGCTGCACTTGAAAGAGCTGCAAAGGCAGCTAGAGAACTTGAATCATCTAGTATGTATTAAATGTTCGATTCATAGTGTTTAAGAACATGCGAAGGAAGCATTTGATCTATCTCAAAAACATGAACAAACTTTACAGATGGAATATCAATCAAAAATGAAGGTATAAATATATACGTTTTCAAGAAATGTGTCATTCACATTGTTTACCTAGGAGTACGAGCTTGGATTAGAACAGATTAAAATACAGCAATATAGAGCTCAGCAGGAAGAACGCAGGAAAACGCTAGAGGAGGAGGCGAGAATACAAAAACAGCGCGCCGATTATCAAGATATGCTGGCTCGTAAACGTCAGGAAGATCAAATAGCCTTACAGGTTCGTTTTTTGAATAGTTTTACTAAAAGGTAGGCCAAAGCTCAGGCAGACAATCTGAAAAAACAGGAGGAATCCGTTCAGAAACAAGAAGCAATGCGAAGAGGTAGTCATGATTTTAATAATAATTAATAAGCATGATTATTAATTGTTTCTGTGCACAGCAACAATTGAATTTGAATCGGATCTTCGCCACAAAAATGAAATGAAACAAATTGAAGCAAAGATTAGAGGTGAAGCTGAAGTTGAACGACAAAATCGTGACCTGCGTCTAGAACGTGCACGTGTTGACGCCCGAGAGTATCGTCAAACAGTCTTGGAATCCATAACAACTGCTGGCTCTGTCATTGGTAATGGTATCAGCAATTTCCTGTCAGAACCTGACAAGATGGCCACTGTCATTGGTTCACTAACGTTATTAGCTGGCGGCGTATATGGGGCTAAATATGGGATCGGAACATTTACTAAAGTTGTAGAATCTCGTATAGGTAAACCGGCACTTGTGCGTGAGACTTCCCGACTAAATATAGTAGATACTTGTCGTCACCCCATCAAGGTTTGAATTTTTATATTAGTCCATTCAATTTTAGACAGCCAAAACGGTCTTTCAGCGTCCTACGGATCCTCTAGAAGGTATAATTTTGCGAGTAAGTTTAAATTTTTGTCCTGTTTGGGTTGAATTCGTCAGTTATGTGTCATCCATTGATGTGGTACATATTTCACTCTTTAGTGCCTCATAATAAGTCATTAGTGGTGTAGTTAAGATTCAGAGCCCTAAACTCGTTCATAAGCCATGTGATCAGTTAGATTCAGATTACTAGTACAATCTGAAGCCTTTTTTGCAGTTGAGTTGCGATCATAGTTCTTGATAGCTTTGTGGTGGATAAAAGTGTTTCTATGTAGTAATGCGTGTTAGGATAAACAGATACTAGCTTTATCTTGATAACTATCCTATTTCTTGACAATTATTTTGGGCTCTGAATAAATAGTGAATTCGCGACTTGATTTGCTCGTGTCGTAACTCACTTTGCTCATATCGTCTTTGCAATTATCTGACCATAAGATGCTTAGTTAGTTTTGTACCTACTGAATTAAAAACTAATGTAGCGAGTAATAAGATTACTAGGTATACCTGGTCTGTGTATAAATTTTAACCTACTTCAAATGTCAGTTTTACAACTTGTTCACGTTACATTCGTGTATTGTTTTGCATTGCTACTAGTTTAATATGTTTTAGCTAGTGCCAACAAACGAGTTTATTCCACGCGTTGGATAGTCAAAAATACGTAAAATTATGGAATTAAATTCTGGATCAAGTTCTGTAGATCTTAAAACATCTCCATATTCGAATAATCAATTGGCCCCTCAACTATTAAATCAACTTTCGCTTGTAGTCAGAATAAGGATTTTGTTATGATTATGACATATAGAGCAATAGCTTCAAGGGGATTACTTTATCGGTTTTTATCTGCTTGTAATGTCGATATTGAGTAGACCTTAATGTTGCTTTGATGTAAGAGCGTTATGTTTGTTGTGGATATGTGACTTCTCTCTTTGGCTTTTTCGATTGGACTTTTTGATTCGCTTGCTCCTTAGACAGCGTTCTTACAATTGCCTTTCTCAAAATCCTGTCTTCTGTGGATTTACATTTTTCATAGCCTGAGTTGGAAGCATCTTTGAGAAAAATTGCAATTGCAACCAGACATACCAAAGCAAATAGAGGCTTTTATCGAAATATCCTAATGGCAGGTCCTCCTGGTACTGGAAAAACTATGTTTGCAAAGGTAAGTTTTAGTTTATCGTATTCTGTTCATCCACAAAGTTGATCATAATCAAGGTAGGACTTAGAACCAAAACTTTTAGAGGCAAGTTATTGAGTTACAACAATAAATCGATTAGAGGAATTCGAAAAATGGAACCAAAGAAATCGATGTTAAGGAGCTAAATATGACTTTACCCCGAACGAACCAATGAAATTAATTAATATGAAGTATGAGCATTAAGACTATTCATGGAATAAATTCATACTTGACGTAGTCGATCAGTTGGTGAACAGTGTCTGTAGGTATGGCATGTGCTTTACACCTAAGTGTAGAGCACTTTTACAAGACTAGCAGGACCCTGTACCTGCTCTCACTTTGAGTAGTAGTCGGGGAGTTCGCTTATCTGGGTAGCCGTGTAAGTGTGCATAGTGGTATGAGTGATGAAATCAATTCACGTATAGTGAAAGCCATAGCGGCTTATGCCGATCTGGGCCATCTTTGGCGCCTTCGTGATGTTGGTCTGGCTGTAAAAGGTCGAATGTACAAACGCGTCGGTGAGGCAGTTTTGCTCTGTTCTTGCGAATACTGGCCTCCGAGTTGAGGATGTTAGATGACTCTCCGTGTTTGATTACTGTTGTCTCCAAAGGATTGTTGACATCCAGTGGCGACACCATGTTAGTAATGCAGAGGTTCGACAAGGTGTGATTGAGCACAGTGACGATAATTCAATTAGTGTCGCCATCTTGAAACACCGGTCTCGGTGGCTTGGGCATATCCTACAAATGTCATCTCAGTGGACTCCACACCGTCTGTTATTTGACGCACTGGGACTGGTTGGAAGAGGTGGTCAGTGCACGACATGGTGTCGTGATGTGGAAGAAAGCTGTACAAGACTGTCGGTCCTTCACAACTTTCTGGTTGAGCTCCGAGAAATGACACGACACAGCAGCTTGAAACATTGGAAGTAGCTGAGAAAAGTAAATGGCGATCCCGCTGTAACTTTTTTAATGTCTATAAAAATAAACGCACCCTTAACTGAGAGGATTCTTTCTGGTTGTATTTTTCCTACTTTATCTGCTTCTGTTCATTACTGCCCTTCTTTGTCATTATACTGTTTCTATTATCTATCTCTTCATAATCTCATATTTATTGTGTGGCGCACATATGTTTGGTGTCTCTTTGTACTAATGTTTGTTTGTTCATATAAGCAAAGAAAATAAGGAACATTTAGTTATGAATAATATCTTTATTAATACAACTACTAGACCGTTCATTTTACCACTTGTTTCGGGTCAATTTATAGGAAATGGAAACTGTCTTACTTTTAGTAGAAGTCCTGATGATAGTCAGTACTTGTGCATCCGTAAAAAGATAATATTGTAGATGTAAGTAAACGGAGAATTGTTTATTCAGCAAGCTGCATAGTTAAAAATACTAATTAAAGCGTGTTCATGTCTTTTATTTCATTATACACTGGAAACCATGTATTTGAAATAAAGCTATATACTTAAATATCTTATCGTTGACATTTTTTAAAAATTATCAATTTTATGAGCAAATAAAATTAGGTTAGGGAACGAAATTTGATTTAAATATTCTTATTTGGTTAATATACATCAAGTTATCTTGGATATGTTTGTATCCAAACTCTCCATGTTACTTTTAGTTTTCATAATGAATGTAGTTTCATTATTTTTATTTTGTATATTTATTAAGCACCAAATTTTCAACAATTTTTGGAGATCTCCAATCCTGACATATTATATTAGTAGGTTTTTTTTACTGAAGTTGACGCTCAGCAAAATATTTCTTTGTGGACCTTCTTTTAGCTTTTAAGATTGTCAATACTTCGGTCTTATATTGTTTGGTTATTTTCTAAACACTCGTCGGTAACTGGATAGAAAAAATTCAGACAATATGTTACTTCATTCTCTCTTTCAATTGGTAGAGTTTGGCTATGCATTCGGGTATGGATTACGCGATTTTAACTGGTGGAGATATTGCACCTATGGGCAGTGAAGGAGTTACTGCAGTCCACAAAGTTTTTGAATGGGCCAAAACTAGTCGTAAAGGGTATGTAATGATGGGTTTTTTTTTTGTACAAATACACCCAACTCCATTATGGCAACAAAGAGTTAAGTGGTGAAATGCATTAATTCTAGTTACTTATCTTACTACTAACCCGACCGTTGTTGCTACCTTGACGTGGTGGTCGGGCTTGCCTATCGTGATGAAGCAACCGAGCTATACTGGCTGGAACAACCGTTCCTCAAGGTCCTACCATGTCAGACAGGTCGGTTGAAGAGCGGTAAGACTAAAAGCAACAAACCCAAGGTCCGAAGGCGAAGTCGTACTGCTGACTGTACAGAGGTGTGACAGCAGTAAGGTGTTTCCCTCGGACAACCAGCATGACAGCGATGCTGCCTTCCCACAAGGAGGGCTGGGGTTATAAAAGGTCGACCCTAAAAATGCGCACCTCACCTCACCTCACGGATTTCCGTCTCCGGCGGTAAGGCCCTTTGAAGAACGGAGCTAACACGTCAAAAACCTCCCACGAAAAGGCCGTGCGCGACCGGCCTCAAGCAGTTGACCCTTGGGCACTGCGGTCACGCTCTCAGGTCACTGAGACCGCCTCTAATCCAATTTTCTTTTCAGGTACCTCCAGAACAACCCTTCCACGGTGTGGGCAACCGGGAAGTGATAACCGCCCTCATACCTCTAACAGCACCCAAGACCACTGTATTCATAATCAACCTTCCTCTTCAACTCCTATTATTCCTCCTACATCGACTTTCAACTCTAAATTTCCTCTTTCGGCTTCCTCCTCAAGTGTCACCATAGCCAACGACTCTAGTGCTCAAAACTCTGTCCCAGGTCTACTGAAACCTCGCTCCAAACTACACATTGGAGCCTTCAACGTACTCACCCTATGTCAAATCGGTCAGCAGGCTTCTTTAGCTAAAACCCTAGAGTCTCTTTCCATTGATGTGTGCTGTGTCTCCGAAACACGCATACAGGATTCCAGTGTGGTCATTCACTTGACCTCACCTCGGCAAAACGGAGAGCCAACGAGATACACCCTACGTGTATCTGGTGACCCGATGGCCAGTTCTCGTGGACTGGCAGGTGTAGGCATAGCACTAAGCATGAGGGCGGAACAAGCACTGCTAGAGTGGATCCCCGTCAACAGTCGCCTATGTGCTGTTCGGCTAAACGGCTCCGTAAAAACTCGGAAGGATAGGGACACACGTCGTTGCCTTTTCGTCGTTTCTGCCTACGCTCCCACTGACTGCATCTCAGATGATGTGAAAGATGAATTTTACAGAAAGCTGTCCGAACTTCTTCAGAAAGCTAAACGCTCAGACATAGTACTCGTAGGGGGTGACTTTAATGCTCAGATAGGTAGCTTAAACCAAACAGAAAGGCATTTAGGTGGATATTTTAGCATTCCGGCACAGCGAACATGGTAATGGTGACCGTCTGCTGCAACTGTGCTCAGACAATCGCTTATTTTTAGCAAACACAAATTTTAAGCATAAGGAGAGACATCGTCTAACGTGGCGACCGCCTGCACCAAACCAACGATGGACTCAAATAGACCATATTGCCATCAGTCATCGTTGGAGAGGGTCGGTACAAGATTGTCGCTCATTCTAGAGTACCTGCTTGGACTCCGATCACGCCCTGATTCGGGCACGCATCTGCTTGCGCCTCACTGGACGCAAAAAAGCCACAGTAAAAAGACCCATTAGAACCGAACTGAGTAGCGAGGAAACCAAAAGTAGGTTCCAGGAACAACTGAGGTCACGATTAGGTAGTTCTGAAGACGAGGCTGACCCAGATGTTGCTTGGAATGAAATACAAGCAGCTGTGGAAGCAGCAGTGACATATATTAGCGACTTAAACCACAGAGTTTCAAAGAACCAGTGGATTTCTTCAAAGTCTATCACACTGATGGATTCTCGCAAACTCGTCCCATCAGGTTCCGAACATGATGAAGAGCGATAACAAATCAGATCTAGGTTAAGAAAAAGTCTAAGAAACGACCGTGAGCAGTGGTGGGCAACGAAAGCAAAAGAGATGGAAAAGGCGGCGACTATAGGGAATACAAGACAGCTTTACAGACTAATAAAAGAAACTGGAATTAATAAGTCAAGTGTAAGTGAGATTATATCGGAAAAAGACGATACACTCATCTGCTCCCAGTCCAGGCGTTTAGAACGATGGGCGGAACATTTCAGAGAACAGTTCAGCTGGCCTTCAGCTACTCTACAACTACTCTCCATTCCCAGACAGTGTGAATGGAACATTGAAGTAGGTCCCCCAACTCTTGCTGAAGTTGAGAAGGCTATAGTTAATCTGAAACGAGGAAGGGCAGCTGGTCCAGATGGATTGGCTTCAGAGGTCTTTAAGGATGGTGGTCCAATTTTAGCGATTAGGTTGACTAATATTTTAGCTAAAATCTGGGAGTTAGACGTTATTCCATCTAACTGGTCACAATCACTTATCGTCCCAATATATAAGAAAGGGTCAAAATCATCCTGTGACAACCACAGAGGGATTAGTCTAACTAATATAATATCTAAAATACTAGCCTCGATAATTATCAGACGCCTAACTAAGACTCATGAACTGCAAACACGAGAGAATCAAGCTGGCTTCAGACCTGGTCGTGGCTGCATCGACCACATATTCACCATTCGTCAGATTCTAGAACACAGGCATACTTATCGGCGTCCGACAATGGTGGTCTTTCTCGACTTAAAAGCAGCATTTGACTCGGTAGACCGCGAGATTCTGTGGCAGTGTCTGTCATTGAAAGGCGTACCCCAGGAGTACATAAACCTTGTGAAGGCTCTTTACTCGAACACTACTAGTCGAGTCAGAGCTTATGGCGAACTGTCATCTACTTTTGCAACCTCAAGTGGTGTCCGTCAAGGCTGTCCACTTTCCCCATTTTTGTTTAACTTCATCATAGATCTACTGATGGAAATAACTTTCTCGTCGACTGAGTTCTCGGGTATTGATCTCTATCCAGGAGGTCCACTTATCGACTTAGAATAAGCGGATGACATAGTCCTGTTTGGTGAAGACGCTGACAGAATGCTCGCTTGGCTTTTGCCAACTTGCGTCACTTTTGGCGAAGGCGAGATATCCGTCTATCAATAAAAGGATGAGTATACTGCGCGGCAGTCCGTTCTGTTTTACTTTACGGCAGCGAAACATGGCCACTAAGAGTAGAAGACACTCGTAAGCTATTAGTATTTGACCACAGATGCCTTAGAAATATTGCTGGCATCTGCTGGGATCACCGGGTAGGTAATAGTGAGGTTAGACGCAGGGTATTAAGAATTGATGGTAAATCAGTTGATATGGTTGTAAATCTTCATCGACTGAGATGGTTGGGCCACGTGTTACGTATGCCTGAACACCGACTACCACGTCGTGCAATGCTATCCGGTATTGGAGATGGTTGGAAGAAAGTTAGGGGCGGCCAAACCAAAACGTGGCATCAGTGCTTGAAGTCACTAACTTCTAGTCTGAGCCATGTTGGTAGATGCAGACTACTTGGTTGGGGTCCGCGTGACTATCGTAACCAATGGTTGGAGACTTTGGGGACATGGCTCAGAATCGATCACAATGGCGTCGGTGTATACACTCCCTGTCTTCCCTTAAACTAAGAGATTAAAATCGCTTCATATCTTTCTTTCTACGAACCAAGTTTTTCTTCTTGTACTATATCTCTATATGCAATCTTTCTTTTATATATTACTACCTTTGACCTAACCACTGCTATGAATCCGGTGTTCATCTTGTTGTGCTGATGCGGTATGGCAACCTGGACCGATGCACATATGTGCCTGGTCCTACATTGTAGCTGACTGACTGACTGACTCTTACTACTAAGTGGTGAAATAAAGCACTAGTTCAAATGATATATCATAATTCTGAATCTTTGTTAAAGCTTCGCTTCTAAAGGATAAATAGGTGAGAACTGCACAGTGTGAGTTGTTATAATTAGTTAATTTTGCATAGTCAATAGTTTTCTGTAATTCAAATTTCCAATCAAGTGAACTGAATACATGGGTTTGATATAAATTACAAGTTTAAATTAAGGGTGTATAAACAAATAGCTTACCCCATCAAAGTCAAGTAATGGTCCTTAGTAAGATATTATGCAACTAGATATATCCTTCCACATTGTTGTTAACAAAGGCATGTTGTTAATATGTATTCTCATAAGATACATTGTTACCAGACCTCAATCATTTGATTACCGTTTTTGTATGAAGGGGTTAACACAGATAAGTAAATAAGATAAAGGAAAGAGTAAATATTTGACTCGTATACATGTTCGCTTTCGTTTCCCGGTCATAATTAATGGTTGGATCCTAGGACATCAGAAACATTAGATTATTTTTTATCTTAATAGTCCCAATCAAATGAAATGAGCGTGAATTTAAAGTTGGAAATAATTCTATTGTTTAAAAAATAATGATTGCATAATATCATTTATAGGATCTAGCTGCTTATTACTTCAAGTCTTTAATATTTAATTTTGACTTCGATACTTTTTTATTTCTTTTAGAGTTTTACTTTTTGTGGATGAGGCTGATGCATTTCTTCGTAAAAGAGACCAAGAACGAATAAGTGAAGGTGTCCGAGCAACTTTAAATGCATTTTTGTACAGAACTGGAGAACAGTCTAAGAAGTTAGTTAAAAATCTTTACAAATTTCCCACAATGTCTAGAACGCTTGGTTAAGTAAAACAGTAAAACACGAAGTTCAGCGAAGGGATCTCTTTTCGACGAATTTATTATCAAGCTGTACAATTGTATATATATGAAAATTTTTGTTAATGTACTAGTTTCGTGAGGACATATGGACAAAGAATAACCAAGATGATGTAATAGAAAGATTATAATACTAGACCACGTAATACGAATAATAACGATAGACTTAATAAGTTAGTAACGAATTATAGCGTGAATGTAGTAAGACGATTAAAGTGTTTTTGTTACAATAATTCAATGTCATAGAGGTGTTAAAAATAAATAAAGTAATATCACGAGCACTTATGAATAAAATAACGAGAATATGAAACATAAGTAAGGAGAGAAATGCAGTAATAATAATTATTATAAAGTTGACGATAACGATAGGATGTACTTCTTTTGTACGCAGATTCCTGGCTTCAGCTCAGGGATGGTAAAAGTATCGACTATTTTTAGGAGTTGGATATGAAGGAATCGTATATACAACCTTAAAATCAAACTGTCGATCAGTAGAATGGTTACAATTGATTAGATGTTCAAGTATAGAACTCCTAACTGCTTTCCTCTCACCGTTGTAGAACCATACTGGGACATGTCCCCGTATCCAAGTTGAAAGCGAGCACTGGCTACGGCAAATGTACCTTGCTCCACAAAAGCAGGTAAACCGGTAGATGCACATGGGGGCGACCAGACGGGGAATCTTTTCCGCATACAGAAAACAAGTTCCTACCAGTGAACGTTATTTTCATTTTTGCCGCATAGAATGTTCTGTTTATCTCTGTCGTCAAACAATTTTTGATTACATCAGATGTTCGATCACTTTTAAATTCCAAATTTATATAAAGATTTTTCGTTAGAACGGAACAACCGGATTCCTTGTTACTACTTCTTTTCATATTCTTATCTATGAAGCGGTTTGGATAGCCATTTTTCATCAGTTTTCCTGAGGAATGTAAGTTCTTTGTCAATGCTTTCAGTACTACATATCCAGTGTATTCGGTAATATAAAGAGTGAATAAGATTGTAACAAAAACACTTTAATCGTCTTACTACATTCACGCTATAATTCGTTACTAACTTATTAAGTCTATCGTTATTATTCGTATTACGTGGTCTAGTATTATAATCTTTCTATTACATCATCTTGGTTATTCTTTGTCCATATTTCCTCACGAAACTAGTACATTAACAAAAAATTTCATATATATACAATTGTACAGCTTGATAATAAATTCGTCGAAAAGAGATTCCTTCGCTGAACCTCGTGTTTTTAATGTCTAAATGGGAATTATCTGTCAAATAAGACAGTGTTTATGTTTAACTACCAATTTCCTCTAACGTTGAGATATTCACAATAATCGACCGCTGGGCCTTAATATTAACGTCATGTCCAGTCCTCAGTACTAATCTCGCCCCACCGACCAATTTTGATTATTTAATAGCATCGTGCCCTGGAACTGATAGTAGATGATTAAGTTAGTCAGTTTTCCTCAGCTATATGTCATCAAGTAAGTAACGTTTTACTTGTAAACTACAGTCTCCAGACCAACAATCTTTGGAAAACAATCACGTCAGAACATATATATATATATATATATATATATATATATATATATATATATATATATATATATACGTCTCTCAGAAAATTAATCCACTAGTGGTGTATCTTTCATTCTTTAGTATTGCAGGCCATTCTTTGCCCGATGTTTGATTGGTTGATTGTATCAAACACAATCACTGTATCTTACTCATCAACTAACAAAGCGTCTTAAAAACGTGAATTCTTTTCGACTTTCATAATGTAGAATTCTCGTTTCTGAACTGATGTATTGCACATGATAGACAAAAGAACATCCACCATTTATTATTCGTTCAACAGAATAGCTTTATATACTTTGACATTGGAACCAAACAGGCATCATATTTAATAATACCTGTTTGGAAACGATATAATGATAATTATTTCAGTTTTCCTATCTACTCCCGTATTATTAAGCAAATATTGACTTATCTGCGCAAACGAAAAAACTGACTCAGTACTTGTTTAAATACGTACAAAAGGTTTGCACGCTTGAATTTTCATTTTTTTGTGTAGAATGTAAGGAAATCTATTTAATGCGTCGGAAAACTTCGCAGCTCCTCTAAAACTGTCTAAAGCTCATAAATTAGAAATTTTTATTGTTCAATGATGTGATTTCACTTGTAGGTGTGGTAATCACTCATTTTATATAAGCTTAGCTTTGTAAATGTGTAGTGAACGCGAACACAAATGCGGGACAACCAAATGTATTTGAACACAAAATTACAAAACGTTTTAGTAAAATATGAGAACTCTACAGTAAATACTTCATTTGAAAAATGTCAATCAGTCGTCTCAGGCCTCATTGTTCCTTCGTTTTCACAGCAACCATTATCTGTTCTCTTTTCTTCGATCTTCTTAACCTTCTGCCTCCAGGCATTTCACTTTCGATTGATGATATATACTACTTATATCTGTCGACATCAGTAGCACACACCACAAATGTACACGAAAATCGAGGAATTTTTGTCTGTATACAGTGTAAATAGTTTTGTTGATGAATTTACTTCGTTTTATATACAGTGAACTCGAAAAAACGTTGCACACTACGCAGAAAATGAAAAAGCCTTTTTTAGTAGCCGTTTGAGAAACCTGAATAAGTTAGGGATAAAATAAATTCTACATTATTATATCGATGAAAGCCTCTAAGTTGTAACTGAGTGCAACACCTGAACGGCTTCATTGAAATAAACAATTTAATCGAATACTAGTACTATATGGACCAACGGTTAAATTCCTACATTAGAACGAAAATTTAGCAGAATTTTTTAGCGGGTTACCCCAACTATTCTATCTATTTAAAAGGAACCACACGTAATGATCCAGATTAATAAAAGTTGTAGTTGGTCCGTTAACAGTCAGATGTAGATATCTACAACTACTTATTCAATTAAAATATTGCTTATATGTAACTAGCACTTTTGGTTTACTGAAGAACATTAAGACTTCACAATTTAAAAGAAGCAGTTAACTCTACAATTGTTGACATTACAGAAATGTAGGAAAGATACACACTGACTGGGTTAGGTATGGAATCTTTTTATTTTGAAAATTAGCTCGCAAATCTTTGGACTTTAACCACTTATAGAACACTCACATATACGTAGCTTTAGAAGATTATGAATTTCATTAAAAATTGCTGGCGCTCTATAAGTGTTTGAAAACAAACAATGAAGTATATTGCGTTGATACAAATCAAACTGTTCCGTGTGATAGGAAGTTCACATACTACATACTACCGTATTATGAATTGTAGTCGTTTGATATATATGTTCACAATATTTGTTGTTTCAAGATTATTCATAAAAGTTAAAGCGATTTAAAAAAGATGCTACGCTTCTTACAGTATCTATTCACTATAAATCCGTTGGTATAATTGGAAGTTGTGTTAGTCAGGTATGACATTCAGACCTTTGACCATTTTTACTAAAAATAAACTTTACAAAGTTTAGAGTCAATACAATAGTGTTCGTCATTCAACCTAGTTTTAGTTCATTATTCCATATAATTCTTAAACCCTAGACAATTTTTATCAATCTATTAATCGTAAATATTTCCTCTTATAGATTTATGTTAGTTTTAGCCAGTAATCAACCTGAACAGTTTGATTGGGCAATTAATGATCGTATGGATGAAATTGTTCAGTTCACACTACCTGGTTTGGAAGAGCGTGAACGATTGGTCAGGCATTATTTCGATCGTTTCCTTCTTCAACCTTCGTTAACCAAAAGTCACCGTATTCGCCTAGCTGAAAACATAGATTATGCCGTAAAATGTGCAGAGATCGCTAAAAGAACGACTGGCCTCTCTGGACGCGAAATTTCTAAAATTGCAGTTGGATGGCAGGTACATGATTCACATTTTTACATAAGTACTATTAATTTCAGTGAGAGTGCAACATTTTAAAAGAAGCAATAAAGAGATAGGTTCTAAACGTTTAAAAATGATTGGGATATTTCCAGGTTGTCAATTCATAGACGTGAATGCTATTGTGGTCGTATTTTCATCGTACAAAAAATTAAGTGATATACCAGAATCCACGTAAACGATTGTTCAAATGAAAAAAGAAACATTTTAAGATATTCAGGGTTGCTTCTGAACTATTAAAAATTTCGAAACGTGCTAAAGCTTTAAAAGTAACATATGCACTATTAGATAACACATTACCAGTATTTATCTCGGCCTCCGTGATGTATGGAAACGGAACAAGTCTGGTATACCGATTGCTAGAACATCAAACTAATATTAGTTTGCTACCTCAAATCACCCAACTACTGATTAAGTATACTTGCGTAAATCTTTCGCTCAGTGTAACATTAAGTAAATCCCCAAGTCATTTCGACTTACAACTTTAGTCATCTTGATATGAATTAAACAATAGGTGGTTTACGTTAATGGTAAAAGACACTTAAGCATCTTTGAAAAGTTACGAGAACCTCTATATGTTTGTGCGAGTGCTGATGAGGATATATGGGATAAGGTCAATCTAGGTTGAACTACTTTTTTGCCATTTTATTACGTACATGAAGGATCAGCACTTGTTAAAACCTAGTTCTGTAAACAAGACTTTCGATAACTTTGTGCGTTTACTGTTGTCGTTTCAGTATTTGTTGCATTAATTGCCTACACTATGCAATGTTACAGCTGCTTGGACTTAATCCGTATCATCATTTTATTGAGGTTTCACAGTGATTGGCTGGTTGAACGCGGTTTACAGGTATCGTCACAACCATTACTCAAGCATTTCATAGCAAAGTATAAAGGTTGTAGTGACTCGGAGTGCATATATGTATTATGACTTCTAACGTAAGTGCCGTTCCTGTCGCAATAATTTCCTCTTCGAAATATAATCAATACTTCAGAAAAGTAAAATCTTTTTGGCCCTGTGCTTATGTTGTCTGCTTCATTTATTACCATTATTTTCATTACTAATCTACATAATATTGTCATCACGTTTCATTCTGGTTCAGGTCAGTGCACGCCAAACACTGTTTAAAATAACTATTGGTCCTCAAAATGTTACTGATTTTTTTCAAACTGAGGTCTAAAAATAACTAACAACACTGGTGTTTGTTGAATTTAGAAAACTTCTTACCTGATCAATCTTGAAAATTCCCCTCAACTTCATTGATTAATATAGTCCGGTTTCATAAGTATTGGTTTAATTTAACAAATGAGCTAAAATGACCATCTATCTTTAACTCTCTCGATTGTTTAATATTTTGTATGTCTCTTCCTTATTTCTGTTTCAACCGTAACAGACAGCTGCATATTCCAGCGAAGACGGTGTTTTGACAGAAGGCATGATGGATGCTGTTGTCGACAGTGCTATTGCAGCTAATCGTCAAAAACAAGAATGGCGACACTATAGACTTCCTGACGCGGTAGACGCTGTTCCAAACTAGTACCACTTACAATAAGGAAGCTACCAGCTTTTGCATTATGCATCACATCTGTTATTTACTAATCTATACATATGATTCCCTGTGTACCTAATCAGTAGTCTTTTTGAGATAAGATCAAGTAGCTTTTTCAATCGCCAGATATAGTATAAAATTGTCAACTAATTTTCTCCCTTAACAAAAGGCTTGTTATGTCTGGTTTTTCTTCACGCAATGAACCAACAATGAAGTTTTTTTACAAATTCATTAAACGGTTCTGTGGGCACTTCAAAGATCTTTTATCGTGTATATTGGGCTGGACATTTTGAAATAGATCACCAGTTTGATTGTTTATAGTCCGAACAATCCAGTTTCTAACTAGCCTTAAATATAACTATAATGGTTATTTAGACATTTAGAGAGACGCTAGCGAGCATCGGTCACTAAATTCTAGAAACACCTGCAAAAGGTTGGGGTCTATTCTACAAGAGACTCTGTGGTCAATTTAATATACCAGGAACAAAATTGGTGTAAAATTCTTCGTCAGAGAGAATTTCATTCAGACTGCAGGGAAGTCATCTAAGTTTATTTTTAAAGCGGACTAGCATACAAACCTTGTTTGAGGTTTCGAAATTTACTTAAGATCGAACTCCCCAGTTCTTTATGCTGAAAAGTAATGCTGGCAATATTTCCTAAATCGTTATCAGGATTTGGAAAATGGACTATAACACCACAGTAAAGCGACCAGCCTAAAACAAGGTAGAGACTATAGTTAAACCATGCAAAATGTGGATTCAACCGAGCATTCCACATGCGATACTAACACATTGTGTGATTGTGCTCATTCCTGTTATATTGCTTGGTCTCTAACCACTAATTTGTACCATAATGTCCTCAGTTCTCATTTAGCACACTGGTGGTTTGTCCACCCTTAATTTCGCAATGATTTTGAATTGCATGTCGTGGTAGTAGTGGTTTGATATTCAGTCAGTGTAGACTTGTAGTTTAATTCTTTTCAAGCGAAGAGTGTATAGTATTCTTCGTCTAATGATTCAAGAACACTAGAAACGAAAGCGATCGGTCACCCGCAATCTACATGTATCTTCATCTCTTCACGGAAGTCCCACAGTTTTACGGTTCTTATGGAAGACAAATGCACCTGCGCAGTTTTCAAGCTAATGAATTCCAACAAAGAAGTTCTCCTTAAGGTTAGACAGTTACCGAACCACCTTTGAAACCTAAGCCAGTGCCACAGCCATTAAAATCACGATTGTTTATAAAGCAATGTGGTGAGTTATGCAGTCATCGGGTGATAGGTTTCTTATAGATTATTAATAGTACATATTTCGGGAAGTGACTTATATCAATTGGTATTATGCATGAAAGAGCTTTATCAACTTTGAGTGTGGGAGATTATATTGCAATGACAAATTATAGTATAGATATGAACCAAGATTAGGCCTGCCCCACAGATGGCAGAAATGACCAAAGAGTCCTCGTAAGTTAGAGAATGACGGCATACAAAATAAACTGTGAATACAACAGTCAGTACATCACGAACAGACTGTCGACAGTTTTACCGCTTTTATGCGGAGTTAGCATAAGCGTGAACCCTGTATTTTTAAATGAGTAAATGAAAGAAATATCCTTAGCCTATTTTATTTTTAATAAGATTCTTGAGCTTTCTTTACCATTAGGGAACAGTCTCGAAAATTCTATCATTTATTAGGTGCATAACTGAAGTCATTTGATATGACATCATCCTACATGGTACGGTTACTGTCAAACCTTGGATGCTTTTTGCTGATAGTCCGTTACTTCCCCTTTTTGGAGGAATGGTTTGGGAGTGTGGCTTAAGTGGATAACTAGCTTGAGAAATGCACGATCAAAAGACGTTCTGTAATTCTGCTTGACAAATAACAATTTGCTAGATTCCTTAACAAAAATAGAAGGGAAAATATCACAAAATATTATATTAGGCTGTTAACCGCTTACAACGTAAAAGCAGATGTTATCATTATTACATAGCAGACATCCCGTTTTTGAAGTCATTTTGGTAAAGCTCTTAAAACATACGTCCACCATATCCGTAAGTTTGTTTCAGTGCAGCAAGGAAAATAGTGAGCCATCCATCGCGGGTATTTTCCAAGTCATAGGCAGGAACATTTTTCTGTGCTAAAAAAAGGCGCGTTCCACCTTCAAAAGCATTCATTTCCAAAGTCAGTGAGCTGTAGTGGTTCTCAGGCCAATCGCGTTTACGCCACCTCATTTGAATACTTTTACCAGGATCCTGAACATTCGTAGACAACAAAATGATTCACATTAATTCAAACTTTAAGCATTAAAGTTGAACTATTAAATGGCTGAGACAAACAATATCCAGTAGTGAACAGACTAACTGTGAGTAATCAGAACTTTATTAACAGAAAGTATCCCAGACGGCTAATATGCATAAACAAGTTTGGGACACGTAAAAATGATACCATAAGTTTCACAGGAATGATAACCGCAACACCAACGAAACAAGAAATATTGCCAAGCAGAAACATGGGGACTATTGGTGCTTAACTTTACTGTGGAGACGCACTATGCACATACTTGATAACAAAAACGTCACGTTCATCAGTACGATTTATATAGGTGTTGTGGATGCGGAGGAATAGACCAATAATTATCATGTTGAGTCCAATGGTGTCCTTGGACTTTAAATGGACATTTCTTATTGGTCGATATCTGTTCACTTGTTGAATATTGTACAAAATGTTGTTTTCTATTTTATGGTACGATGTGGTATGCTTGATTGGTATATAAACTAAGTATGTTTGAAATATAATGATTCATATCTCCGAGGCTGTGGCTTGTGTTCTGGACTCAACTGACTGGGCTAGACAGGGAAGCGAGACCAATTGAGACTCTAGGCCGTCCGTTCGTGTATACGTGTCACTGTCACCGAATCGATCGATATAAACGCTGCGTATCAAAACCTGCAGTCTCACCCGTTACAACAACTGGCAACCTTAAAGTCATAACAATAGGTTTTGAAGAAAATGTCACGACTGCGCTGTCGCTTTTTTGCTTTATACGCATTGTTTTTTAAACCAACTAATTCTGCAATCAACAGGGACAAGGGTTTCTTGCCTACTTTTTCTAACTAATTTATCTGAACAAAAACAGTGCAAAGGATCATTAAAATGTATCAATCAGCAACAACGTAAAACTTCGTACATACGTACATCAGTTCAAGTTGCCGCATTAAATGTATATGTGCCACACAATAAAAATGAGGTTGTGAAAAGATAAAGAATGGAAGGTGAGTATACTACAGAAGAAAATGGCAATAAGTTCGTGTATAAGAGTGAAAAATTTAAAATGAGTAGCAGTTCAGTCAAGAAATATACATTGTATAAAGATTCTTTCAACTAAAAACCCATTTATATCAAGAACACTACAACAGGACCTTCACTGGCTTCTACTCTGAGCCATGTCTGATACCTCAAGGGTGTGAGAAACCGACAGTCTTGTACAGCTTTCTTCCACATCACGACACCATGTCGTGCACTGACCACCTCTTCCAACCAGTCCCAGTGCGTCAAATAACAGACGGTGTGGAGTCCACTGAGATGACGTTTGTAGGATATGCCCAAGCCACCGAGACCGGTGTTTCAAGATGGCGACACTAATTGAATTATCGTCACTGTGCTCAATCACACCTTGTCGAACCTCTGCATTACTAACATGGTGTCGCCACTGGATGTCAACAATCCTTTGGAGACAACAGTAATCAAACACGGAGAGTCATCTAACATCCTCAACTCGGAGGCCAGTATTCGCAAGAACAGAGCAAAACTGCCTCACCGACGCGTTTGTACATTCGACCTTTTACAGCCAGACCAACATCACGAAGGCGCCAAAGATGGCCCAGATCGGCATAAGCCGCTATGGCTTTCACTATACGTGAATTGATTTCATCACTTATACCACTATGCACACTTACACGGCTACCCAGATAAGCGAACTCCCCGACTACTACTCAAAGTGAGAGCAGGTACAGGGTCCTGCTAGTCTTGTGAAAGTGCTCTACACTTAGGTGTAAAGCACATGCCATACCTACGGACACTTTACCAACTGATTAAGTCTGCATGATTTGGGTGAGTGTTCATTGTGAGAACAAACGCTTAAACCGCTCATCAAACCGTTAAGTTCACGTTAGAAGACAATGTGACTAAACAGCTGAACAATTGAAATCTACTAGTTCCCGTAAAATCCTTGAAACCAGTTTTGCTACGAAGGTGATGTCATGTGATTTTGAAAGAAGTGAAGGCAATTAGTTGAAAATAATATTCGCTGGAGCTCTACAACATATTCACAATACCTTCACACATAATAGTTAATCAAAATGGGATTAGTATTGGATCGTGAGAATGAATGAAACATTAGAACAATAATTACAAAGAGATTAAGTAAAAATCCGTCTAGTGGAAAAAATAAATCAAGGATGAGAAGTACGAATGGATTTCTCATCCGGTAAATGCAGAACAACAAAGAGAATCAAGGCGATAGATAAAAGTTAATGACCAGATCAAAACAAACGGAAAGGTTGGAGCAAAGCAGGATTTAAAAAGTCGCCTTTGAGGAGTTTGAGCTCAATTTAGTGCATTTTTTATGTCTATGTCATACCTGATCCCACATTCGTTGAATCACGTTATTTGGTTTCGCGGACAATTTCGAGAGGTAATGTGGAGTTACATAGCCACAGTTGGCAAGTTAATCATAAATTGAGCTAATGATTTAGTACCATTAAGAACTAAAGTGTAATAAACTGAAAAAGCACTAGGAAACAGTAGGTTATGTGAAGTTGATAAAAAATTTACAATAGCATATAAATTGGTCACAACAACGAGATGGACAATTAATTATTAAACTTTCTAATTACGACCACTGTTAAGTCCCATAATTTTATCATAACCGTATCGGTCATTATCAAACCTCTTCCTGGTCCCTGTTATATTTTACCAAATATTGAATGCGATTTATACCGCTCAATGAGTATAATTTTAGTCAGCCACCAGATTTCTAAAATAATTTTAAATAAAATTGTACAGCTTCAGTGAATTGTACTGTTGAAAAGAAAACTAACTTCATTAAACTAACTATAGTTGTTTCATATCAAATGAACTTATTCTTTTGTTTAGATATACCCTAACGAATGTGTGAAAAATTGGTGACTACATATAGACAAGTTTACTTTTGAATTATACTAGTGCTTTTCGAAAAATTACGTGGACAAAAATCAGTGGGACTTACTAGCAAGTCGAAGATTCCTGTAATGTTTCCACTGAAGACGGAATATGCTCCACCGACAACTGGATCCACAGTGGCCTCAGATCGTGTAAAAGCTTTAACTAACTAAAATTAGAAAGAGCGCATTCGTACTTAAACTATATGATATTTATTTAGTAATTTATTAAAGGTAACCCAATACAAACTGAAAGTAACTAGCGAAATGTGTGTGATATGGTATTCCAACACGAGTATCATTTCATAAACAATTCACATTGTAATGTGATCATACATTGGTCAGTGAGTCAAACGCAACGTAGAACATGGCACATACATCAATATGTACTACCATAGCTCCAAAGTCTGGCATCAAATTCTGTTATTTTCGCAAGCCGGGTACAACTATTTCAACATTACGATCAAGTCATGGATATTGCTTCTTTAAAATATTTTGCAAATACTACCATAACACTTCTGGAGGAGTATTATATATGACTTAATATCACACAAAATTCACGGAATATTATGGAGCATAATTTAGATCGACATACTCGTGGCCTCTTACTAGAGCTAGACGCAAATTACCTCGTTTATTGAATATACATCTTGAGGGAGATTTATTATAAGATTGGCTTTTTATTCTACGTTCTTAAAATAAAATGAAACACTATACAACGGGTTTTGTGTGAGCAATTATACTACTATGGTTTGAAAAGATGTTGAAACAGCCAATTTCGGTGTTCTTCAATCCAATGATGCGCATTTAATCCCAAGAATTTGAATATAAATGAGAGCCTTGGTGCCTGGATTAACTGGTTACAAATAACGAGTCGCACCAACGTATTTAAATGGTTAGCAGGAGTAAGTTTGAAAATTTAAGTTGTGTTTAACTACTTTCCCGAAGCACATGAAAGAAAAATTAAGCTACTGCCAGAACTATTGAATTACTTACTTATACATTGCAAACTGCAAATTTTCAAATGCGTGGAAATATGGGTGTTTCCAGAATGGTAAGTATGAAAACTACCTTACAAATTCAGATCATATGGTTAAATTAAGATATTCATTATCAGTGAATTCAAAACTTGTTATGTTCCCCTTTTCCGATATTCCTTGACAAAAAGAGCATTGGGGTAGCAACAGGGTAAATCCCAAGAAACAGCTGTATAAAGAATAATTTTCACAGAAGCTTCTAGTATCTCTCCGGTCCAGCTACGAGTGATAATGATTAAGATTGGATCAATCAGAGAATTCAAATTTGAGCTTAAACTAAGCACGCAGCGCAGAATGTCCTGTTAACAATACTATTTGCTTTAAAAACAAATTTGCTATCTTAAAATTTACAGAAAGCTGAAACATTTCCCCCATATATTTAATAGGGGCGACCCTACAACCTATGTGATTCTTACTGTAACTACATAAGGAGCTAGGTACCTCTTTAGTAGTGAGAACTCTGTAAAGATCATCCGGAGTGCAGAAGAATTCATCTGTGATTGAAAGATCTCTGTTTGACAGGTCTTTAGGTTCTTTGATCCCATCGGCAGTATGGAAAGCTTTGTTGGTTGTTCTGTCTAGAGCCGCGCCAGACCGTGTTGTACTAGCAGGATTCACGTTAGCACCATTCTTTGATGGAAGGATAAGACCCTGAGCATAATCTGTTACAATAAACTCGAAAAAAATTATTCACATACTAACCTTCTTTAAGTAATGTGATGTATTTCTCTAATTTGGACTTGATAAAGTCAACACCAGTTGACTTCATAAAACTCCCGACTAGATCACCATCAGTACTAGAAGTCCAGCTCGTATTGGTTTCACATTTATTTACACCGTATTCATCGATCAAACTTATAACTTCCACTTTCCCTACAATTTTTACCTTGTCTTCCGAACTTTTTACTATTCCTGTTGAAATAAAATGACAAAAAATATGACGTCATTGAAAGAGTGGAGGAAGTACACTAGATTTAACAATACAAATCAAAAAAGTGGTGTCTTATAGGCTTTGGTTTCTACAGTTAGTGTAAAAACGCGAAATTATTAGGATTTGAAATCCGACTAAACTATTCCAATAACGGGGATAGAACTGTATCTAAATTGTCATGTAGTACAACTCCAAGCCGTTATGAGCGAGACCTACGTTTCTAATCCGACATCTTTACCAAGAATTAGGTGTAACAAAATGGACAATATTGATGGAAATCAAGCAAAGATACAACATCCTTCAATGTAGACACAAAATGATGGCTTGGTTTAGTTGTTATTACTGACAGCAGTCAGATAGGTACAGAATGCCATTAAAATTTACAGACGATCTTTGAGCAACACTTAGGTGACCTCGAGATAACTCACCCACTTACCAGGACTAAATGAGGGTTATAAATTTGTATGCAGGACTAAGAATGGAATTTTAAGTTAGAATTTAGGGTTAGGAATTACGGTAATGGATTGATATTAGCTATAACGCCGAAATGCTATTGAAATATGTGAATGAATGAAAATCGAACGGAAGCCCAAGAATTGCTAACCCTAATTTTACTGGTCTGTTCACAAATCATAGTCTCG